TTAAAAAAAAAAAAAATCTTGACAGGAACATCTGGTATGACTGGTATTTGACCCAACTGCTAACCACCATCGCTTAGTCAAATTAACACATAAAATTCGCCATCACGACCCAACTGCTAACCACCATCGCTTAGTCCAATTAACACATAAAATTCGCCACCATCATTATGCACCACCAAAGTCCAGTTAATGTTGAAGGACCTGTGTGTGTGTGTGAGTGTGTTTGCATGCACGCACGGCTGTGTGTATTCCCGTGACAACTCTCCGAACTGTTGCAGGGCTCCCAGAAGGGAAGACCCGGTGGGCGTGTGGTCGAACACTACCACTACACTCAATGGCCCGACATGGGAACGCCAGAGTACCCGCTGCCGCTGCTCACCTTTGTGCGAAAGGCGTCCCACGCCAAGCGCCACGCCGTGGGGCCCGTTGTCGTCCATTGCAGGTGAGTCTCAGAGGCAGGTTGCCCAGCCCACAGAATGCCTGCTGATAGCGAAAAGGGAATCCAAGGAGCAAAGGTTTTGCCGAGATCAGGATGATTTCGTGAAGTGAGGGGGGCTGGGATTACATGCCCATTTTCAAAAACACTGACCGCTGGAAAATGAGTATGCCGGCCTCAGAATTTGATTGCTAAACATTTCAAAGCGCCAGAGATTTTTTTACGACGTTTATTATTCTACTGAACTGTTGAATTGGATTTTAACTTATTAAATGGGTGAGGCAGGAGGAACCGTGTTTTGTCATTAAACAGACATTTATTACGACATAATATCATGGGATAAAAGTGCTTGGGACGTAACCCCTGTCCCTAGGAGTTAGTGGTCTCTTGTAGAGTTATTATATCGGGGTCATATGAGAGAAACCAAAGTGCACAGAGGGTGAAGAATTTGGCAAAATACTTTTAGGTTGTTTTTAAACAGTTGGGGATCAAAATTCTTTTCTCATTTTCGGAGTTCTATCTAATATATTAAGGTGTTATCAACTCATCGTTACCCAATTACTTTCTTTCCAAGACTAATTTGATGAAGGGAAGTAAGGATATTTCAAAGAAAGAGAAAAAAAATATGTCAGAGGTTTGAATCTAGTATTTTTCAGTTAAAATAAAAATAACAGTTAACATTTACCGAGTGCTGAGTGTGTGCCAAGCTTTATGACCACACAAATCAAGTTGATTTCTGTGTACGGTATTTTTGTCAAAGCGGTGTCTGTGTTTCTACGGAAGTAAATGCTTTCCTTTCATATACAGCTTATCTGACACATTCTAATTATCTATCTCAGGAGTCATCCTCAGACAAAATTTGAGAGCTCGATCTTGAGTTTTTTCATCTGTTAGCCAGATGATAAGCTGAGAGAAGCAGGAAAATGCAAGAAACAGATCTCTGAAGGTCAGGGATTGTTTCTTAGCAAATGGAGGAGGACCAGGGTATTGTGAGGAGCAGGTGCTAATTTTCCACTCTAGCACTTCCTACTTGTCGAAGCATTTGAAAAGACTCCCTGCTTATGAATTCTGTCCCTCCAGTAGAGGCTTTGAGGAAGTCAATAGATAATGGCCCTTTAGAAATGACTGAAGTTATGCTTTATTCCTCACGATCTCACTGAAACGATATTTTCAGCTGAAAGCCTTATCAAATTCTTTTTCCAATTAATGTGAAAACCTTTACACAAACATGTCTACCTGGCAATACAGACCCAGGACCTTTTCTTTTCAGAGTTGGGTGAAGCTGATGCTTTCATTTTTCTCAGATTAAATGTCTAGTTGCTACACTCTGATATGGAATGTTTTCATTCTGTACCATATATGATGAATAATAAATACAATTATTGAAAATTTAAGAATCTCGAATGAATGAATGAATTCAAAATCTCCAACAGAAATAGGCTGTTTTACAGTTTGACCTATAGCCAAAAATTAGAAAGTAAACAATTTATTTGAAGCATTATGCTTAACAACTAAACTGTTTGGTTTGGGATTGCTAAATTATTTATTATGTGGCTCAGTTGCTTGGGGAAGAAAATTATTTTAATTTCCAAGATAGCCAGGAGTGACCTATCTTCAAATTTATCTTATGCTTGACATTGAAATGGCTCTTTCTTTGTGTTCTCTTCAGCGCTGGGGTGGGAAGAACAGGCACGTACATTGTGCTAGACAGTATGTTGCAGCAAATTCAACAGGAAGGAACTGTCAACGTATTTGGCTTCTTAAAACACATTCGTTCACAAAGAAATTATTTGGTGCAAACTGAGGTATGAGAAAAAGGATACTCTTTGTTGTTGTTGTTTTCTCCCCTACCCCCACCACCGAGGTCACTACCTAAGGGTTGGAGATGTCACTAGAATGTTAACGTCGCATGGACCAGACTTTGTTTTACCAGGTTGATTCGTCTCATAGGGCTTCCGTATTAAAGTACTACCAACTGGGTGGATTACAACAACAGAAACTTCCTGCCTTATGGTTCTGGAGGATAAGAGTCCAAAATCAAGGTGTTGGCAGAGCCGTGCTGCGTCTGGAACCTCTACAGGAGGATCCTCCCTTGTCTGAGTTTCTATTTTTTTTTCTTTTCTTTTTAGATTTTATTTATTTATTTGAGAGAGAGAGAACGAGAGAGAGAGCAGGAGAGGGAGGAGGGTCAGAGGGAGAAGCAGACT